CCCCCCCCCCCCCCCCCAACTCTCCCAGCCCCTCTAAAACGCCCAACGCCCTAGATCAAGATTCAAGATCCTTCTCTGCTGCCCTCCCACCCTCGCGACACCCTGAGGCCAGCCAAGAGGCTGTTTTTCAAGGCCGACTTGTGGAAGAAGAGGTCTTTGTCATCCACCTTCCCGCTGTGGGGCCGAATGAATCCGATCCCTGCGGCCTTCAGCTCCTCAAGAAAGAAGTGACTTCGAGGCTGTCGAAGTGAGTGCGAGGGCGGCTTCTATAGTCCTGGATGATGCCAATGCTCCCCCACTCTGGCAAGGGCGGCCCCAACTTCTCGTCGGCCTGGACAGGCAGGGCCAGGGATCATGGAGGGAGCACTCTTCTGCTGGGGCCGCTAGGGGTGCTCGGAAAGACCAGAGTGCCTTGGCCTCACCTCCTCCTCGCCCTCCTTTTCGCGGAGCCGACCTACTTCGGCTTTCCTGCAAAGGTAGGGGCGGGAAAAGGGGCCCCAAATTTGCAGCCTTTTAAAGGAGTCCTTTCGCGACTTCCGCGGAGGAGATCGTCGTCTGGAGTCCGACCTGCAAGTGCGGAAAGTGTCCCCAATTTTTAGGGCGCCCAGGAGCGGAGCTCTGGGGCCTGGACGGCGACCGTCGCCGTGGCATGGCTGCACCGGCGGTGCCCTGCGCCGGCTTCGCACCCTTACGGGACCCCGTCCGAGGGCCCCGACTGCCCCCTGTGACATTGAGCCAACGCAAAGCAAATGGCGGCCGTCAGTCGAGCTCTTCAGAAACTGGACGGGCGAAGTGCACTCCACGCACACTGTGACCGAATGATGATGGACCCATGGTGGATGAGGGTCCTGGGCACGCTGTCTCTCGACCATTGCCACCCCGATGGTGCTAACCAAAGTGTCCACACCTGCCGAGCCGACGAATCGAACTGAGCCGCGCCCCGTCGAATCGGACCAAACGCGACTCCATACGACGGGTCTCCGTCTTAGGGACGGATTTTGAGAGCGGCGCGCTTCTGGTTCTCACGGATCTTGTGGAGCATGCCTCCGGGCCTTCAGCTTGGGGCCGCAGGCGAAGCGCGGATTTGCTCCCAGAATTGCTGCGTCCGTGAGCGGAGCTGGGCCTATGGCCTTCCGACATCAGATCGCAGTATCTAAGTGCCGCGCAATTCGGCGTCTTGGGGTCGTGACCTCGATGCGATGCGAGCAAGGACATCCCTCTCTCTGGCAAGACACTGTGCAAAACTTCATGCACAGAACCTCTTGTGGGCGGGGCTAAGGTCCGACTTGAGGAAGTGAAAAGTGCCCAGAGGACTTCTGCTCGAAGGGCACTGCTTCCCACGGAGCTCTATTCGATCAAGTCTTGCATGCCTGGGCTATGAACATCCCAAGTCAACCCCCTGTTCCCAAGGTCCTAAGGTTCTCAATCGCACGGCAGAAATAAGTGAGGAGCAACTTCAGGGCTTCAGGCTTAAGTCTCAGGATCTCGCGTAGCCCGCATCCACTCCAAGGCTCTTTGGGTGTCTTCCTCCCGGGGGCTTCCATGAAGGCAGTTCCGAGGTCTGAAGGAGATCATCTGGCGGGGGGTGTGTAGAGATCTCCTGAGGGGTGAGTGAAGTTAGGATGGGAGGAGGGATTCGCGTTGCTCGCGTTTGACGTTGAGCTCATGTTCTGGTGGCACGGCGGCTTAGTGCTGTGTCAAGAGGGTCATGCTTTGCGAGCAAGATCGGACCCAAACCAAGAAGACATTTTGCAACGCTTCTTTCAAATGCTTCCCGTGCCAGGATCTTTGCATAAACAACACCTTCAGCACCTAGCGCCCCAACAAGGACGAAGCAGGCAACACACTCTATCACAGGTGCGTCAATAATTGCAGTTGACTGGTCCTCTGGATCGTTTGCTAAACGTGAAAACCTGGAGTCAATGCTGCCTACTCCTTTGCCATGGGTTATCCTGCTGCTGATGTCGCTTGGCCAGATCCAATGGTGAAGGATTTCAAACGTGTCAGCAATCCGGAGGAATCGCATCCAACGGTATAGTCTAGAGTCTTGTGTATATATCTCTGAGGGCTCGCAGGAGGCACCAAGCCTCTTGGACCTTTGACCTGCCAATAGGGTACGGTCCCTGCGCCGTGCCAGGGCACCGAGCACCCGAAGTCTGCTGTGCCAAGATATCAACTCGACTTCCGTCACTTCCATCCTCAAGACACTACCTCTACTCTATACCTCTCTCTCTCTCTGCACACACACACACACGCCCACCGTTCGGGGCTTCCGGCTTGGTGCCATGGCGAGTTTGGAGGTCGCATTTGCACAAGGTAGTGTGGAAGAGACGCCTAAGGACAAATCAGCTTGCCAAAACAGGTTGAGAGAGAGAGAGAGAAGAGAACGACAGATGTGCGAACATTACTTGTTGGTCACAAATACAATCGCTACAGTGCCGCTGGTGCTCTGGCCAAGGCCTCCTTCTCTTCCCGCTTCATGCGCTCCTGCGCGGTCTGGGACATATCGAACCTCAGGTTTCACCCTATTCGTACGGACGAACTGCTTCTAGACCGACGGGACCGGGTGTCTCTTGTCAGATGCCGAGGCAAATGCAATCCGGCGAACGCAAAACAAAGTCCGACAGACTAGAAATCCAATGCCCCAGCATGCCAAAACTAAAGTGGAAATTTCGCCGAGAGGCATGCGGCGTCTTTGTGATTTGGCCACAACACTTTAGGTACTTATACTAATCTAACTTAGCCTAGAATTTTGATGGAGCCTTCAGTGCTGTACCGAGCAAGCTCATAGGATCTCCGAAAGTCAAAAGTACAGCAGTACGGCGTATGGCCTGGGGTTGTGGCTGAGTCTTCATGAGCTGGGACTCAACCGCCCTGCGTCGCTGTCGCTCCGCCAGCTCCTCATTCGACTGGGGCCCGGGGCCCGGGAGGATGCAATGGCGCCAAGGGCAGTCTAAGGAGTCTGTGTCCTGCTGGCGGAACTGCTCCTCCAGCTCTAGTGTGCGATCCATCCTTAGCCCATCGTAAATCCCCAGCAATCCGGAGAAGTCCTTCACGCTAGGTGGCCAAGATTGTTTCGCAGGCGCAAGAAGCAGATACTGTACCGTCCTACTGTTCCACTCCCCGAGGCTGGGCTCCCCTGCGCTTCTTGATCCCGGAGGGCGCGCCGCGCCGCACTCCGCTTGTGACGCTCGGCCCGCACCAGTTGCTGCGCGGTGGCCTGTAGGATTGCCCACCAGTGACAACAGTGCCGATGAGAGGAAGGGTCGGGGAGGAAAAGGAGCCTCTTTCAGCATCTCCTTCTTCTGCTGCTGCTTCTGGAGCCTCCAGAGTTTCGGGACGAAGCAATGGCTGGTTAACGTGGAAGCTGGGCTCCGCGCTCTTCCGTCGCAGCAGACTTGGCACGCTCTATCTGGGATCAGGCAAATAATCACAGCCTGGACCGGGACGTGAGCACTGTTCTGTGGCCTCTGCAAGCATGTTTGCCCGGTCTTGCCGCTTCTCCACCTCCTGCGTGTCTTGCGACAAAGAGAAAGCCTTTGCTTTTCCGGGCAAGGCCAAGTCTGGCCTCGGCCTCTCGCAGAGCTTGTGCCTGCCAGGGCATGCCGCTCCGTGATCAACGATTGCTACTGCTATCGCGAGAAGCGTGTTTTCTCCACCTGCTTCATTTGCAAGTCCAAGGCTTGACGGTACTTGTCAGCCTTGTCCTCAGCAGTTTTGCAAGAGCTGGGCTTCAGGATAATGATGCTGAAATCGCTTCTCTTGGCCTGCTTCTGCCGCTTCTTCTCCTCAGATGCAGCCGAAACCAGGCATAAGAAGCCGAAAGCTGCCACAAGATCTCTTTTTTGCCTGTTTGCCTGCTAGGGATCCGATGGCCTCCGCAACATCTTTTTTGTTAGTTTTTTTTGCTTGCTTGCTTGCTTGCTTGCTTGCCTGCCTGCCTGCCTGCCTGGCTGCCTGGCTGCCTGCCTGGCTG